CTAGCTGACTCTGACAAGTAGCACACTAGCTGACTCTGACAAGTAGCACACTAGCTGACTCTGACAAGTAGCGTACCAGCTGACTCTGACAAGTAGCGTACCAGCTGACTCTGACAAGTAGCACACTAGCTGACTCTGACAAGTAGCCTACCAACCCCAGTAGTGCTCTAAATTTACTAGTCGAAAACACAAACATCGCCATGTCTGCAAGATGATTATCAAAAAACAAATATCATTTCCATGGCGGATTCCCATTTGATCCCCAGTGTGCTGCGGTAAATTGGGTGTTAAAAAGTTTAGTGCAATTGTGGGTAACAGAAATATGATAATTTGGCAACTAGAATGTTATAAGGATGACATGTTGGACAAATCTTACTGTATTTGTGTATGTACAACTTTTTTAAATTTAACAGGGTACATCTGAAATAATCCACAAACCCGGTAGTCCCTGCTTGAAATTCGTGAATATTAAATTATTAATTTGCATAACTATTATCTAATTTTAAGCTATCTCAAGAACCACAGATATCAATGAAATGTGGTAAATAGTTGCAGTCTGGAATACTCTACAGACATGATTAGATATTAATCACATGAATTAGCCAATTTCTGAGATATTTCAAGAATCCCTCATCAGATTTTGGGGTGGGCCATCGATGGTACTATTTTAGGATTGAAATATATGAATATTTTTTGTTCCACAGATATCTCAAATTTCAATGAAACTTGGTACATAGATGCACAGATAGTGCACATCATGACATGCATAATAAGATTTAAAATATATGAATATTAATTATGTAATTTAGATAAATTTGAGTGTTCACAAACAAATTATCCACTGAGATATTTTCACCTCCAGTATAAAAGATTTTTTTTTGTTTTTCAAAGGTTTTCTTAAATCATGGTTTGGAAGCAGCCTCAATCCCAGTACTGAGCTTTGAATTCTTTGCTCTGGATGACTTTTACAAAACTTTTAAACAACCTGAGAAATTTACTGGAATTATATTTACGAGTCAGCGTGCTGTTGAAGCTACTGCAATGTGTATGCAACAATATGCAGAGGCAGGTAAGTTTTATGTTGCTGTAAATGACTTTATTTAGTCAAGAAACCACAATTTGGTTTGATACAGAAAATCCAAACAACTCCTGCGAAGAAATTATCTGCATTTCAACAGGAGGTGTCAATAACAGTCCTTTGGATAGGCCAAATATAAAAAAAACATAGAATAGAATTTCTCTTGCGCCTGACGAGTGTCAGTGACTTTCATAATTTTTTTTCTGTGAATGCCACAAAATTCTGAAATCAAGGTTTCTAATAGTCAAATTAAAAGAAGTATTTTGTTAAATTTGTGAGATATAGTTCTTATTGATGCCTGAAATACGAAATGAAATTTTTTCCAAACCCGCCCTTCCCACTCAAACATTCAGAATTACATACAGCCATTAATTATCATCAGGCGGAGTAATTTTCCATGTATCATTTATAAATTTGAATGATTATACATATCATAAAAAGTTAACCATTTGAACACCAGACTTTCTCGACCAAATTATTCTGTACCTTTTTTGATATTCTTCAATATTTCTGGAAATGATTTTGGAGCCAACAGACAAAATTTGTGTCAATTTTCAGTTTTTACTCAAACAATTTGGCTATTTTTGTCCCAATATTCTGAAGGAAAATGCAAACTATAAATGGGACTATTTTGTGAAGAGGGAGCTAGTGGTGAACAGGTTAAACTGCCTGTGAAAGTGATATTAAAAGATAGTCTAAACTTTTCAAAAAAGCAAAAGTTCAGACAAAATATAATTATTGATATCTGTCCTAATGTATTGCACTCAATCACTCCACTCCACTCCATTAAACTATGTTCAGCATGACATCAACTTTTATTTGGAGGTTTTCAACAAGAACTTATGCAGAAATGGTCTGGATTACCTGCTTACGTGGTAGGTTCCGCTACAAAGACATCAGCTGATAGCCTTGGATTTACTTGCTATGGAGAAGATTGTGGGAATGCTGAAGAGCTTGCTAATGTAATATGTACAGGTAATGAATACCAGTAATCTGTATTTATATAATTATATTAAATTTTTGATTTTTTGCCAAAAGCAATATATCAATTAAAAGACAAAACTTAGGTACCCAAGCTTTTTCCGTAAAAACAAAGAATTTGTGATCTCCCCCATGGTGTTAACTGTGAAAAATAATTAAAATACATGCATAAGCTTGAGAATTATTAAAAACAATATTCTCAGAATTTCAATAATGTGATAATATTTGACTATGTTAACAAAGCAATTTTTTAAATATGTATAAACACTTTCAACAATATACAAAACAAAGATAAATGAATATTTTGCCATTTTCCAAAAAATTCCAGATATTTGTTTCATTCATTTGTATTCCAAAGCCCCCACCCCTCCAAAAAAATAGGTTTTGCTTCTTGACCCAGTGATGCATTGGGTTTGTCATAGTGAAGTGTTCACTATAATGAAGCACATAATACATTGGGTTTGTTATAGTGAAGTGTTCTATAATGTAGCACATAATACATTGGGTTTGTTATAGTAAAGTGTTCACTATAATGAAGCACATAATACATTGGGTTTGTTATAGTAAAGTGTTCACTATAATGAAGCACATAATACATTGGGTTTGTTATAGTAAAGTGTTCACTATAATGAAGCACATCATACATTGAGTTTGTTATGGTGAAGTGTTCACTATAATGAAGCACATAATACATTGGGTTTGTTATAGTGAAGTGTTCACTATAATGTAGCACATAATACATTGGGTTTGTTAAAGTGAAGTGTTCATTATAATGAAGCACATAATACATTGGGTTTGTTATAGTGAAGTGTTCACTATCATGAAACACATATTACATTGGGTTTGTTATAGTAAAGTGTT